CTCTAGATAAATGGAGTACATTTTAATCAGAAATTACCAAAGGTTTCGAAGCATACTCATACGGAAATTAAGTAGCGTCACCTATTTCAATGACAAGTGCATGCTTGCCTTATCACCAAACACAATTGTCCTACGTCCCACTTTACCTCATGAATGTATCGGCAAAATGCACCCGACGCGGTTTCAAATCCCGCTGGGCGTACAAAAATAGGCCGAAACGCTTGTTCACCAATCTTCTAAGCATACTCACATGATTTACAGGTTAAATTTTACCGAAAGTGACCTAAAGTTTATAACTTTTCTACTCAGCTTTCAGTTCAAATGAGGCATTGAGCAGCTTCAGCTACAAATCTCATTATCACACCAGCCGGAATTGAATGTTATTTCAACACTGATTTACCAAAATATACTTTAACTACTACTTCCTTTTGATATTAACAATCTGTATTTGGTGATCCGGCGACTAGTGAACGTCACAGAGAGAGATTGAGATTGGGAAAATACTGCCAAAGTCAATCTTTTCGAAGTGGACCCTGCAAATCTGGTGGCAAGAGGGATTCATAAGCAAATTCCTTGAAGAATGCATAAACGTAAAGTCAATTTTTAATCAAATGTGTTTACAAGACTTCTTATTCTGAAGAAATTCATGAAATAGTCTTTCCGGAAATGGAAGAAAAATTGCCGGGGAATTAAGACTATTTGATTGTCTGAAGAAGTCGTCGGCTCACCGTCCTGCAACGCCGATGAACCTGTGCTAAGATTCCCTCAGCACCGCCATGACAGACATCTTCGAAGCAAGAATCCATGCTTTACGAAAAATCTCAGCAATATACTAAATCAAGAGAAAAGGTGCTCTGCTGTACAGACAGTTTCATTGGTATCTCAGAACGGTGAGCCGAAGACTTCTTCAGACAATCCAACAGTCTTCACTCCGTAGCAATCCTCATTCGGTTTCGGGTGAGAGCATTTCACAAATTCCTTATAATTAACTTTTCCTTAAAATGAAAGCCTTTTCACAATAAATCATCGGGAATTTTTCGAAATTCAATTTTTCATCATATCTTTGTTATTAGCAAATGTGACCCAAATTTTCGTCTCAAAGGACAGGTTGGTTGGAAAGGCTTTTTAAATCGGCCTAATCTTGCATTGGACGATGCTAAAGGTTGTATAAATGGAAAAAGCTAGGCTTAGCAGTAGCCCTTAATAACAGAGTGTGACTCTACTTCTCGTTTAAAATAAAAATTCGAGTCACCCCATTGGATTGTGTCTACAAGTATCAGCTCATCGTCCTGCGAACCCAAATAGTTAGTGCCGAGATATCGTATTTCATGTGACGGACATCGCCAGAGCGAATTTTGCATATCAAACCAAAGTTTATGAATAAGATCCAATTGACAATCCTTCCTCGCTTTCCGATGGGGCCAATCTACGATTTCCTTCCAGCCAGCCGTTGCCAAGCAACGGCTTCTTCGAAACCCAGCTTTTCTTCATAGTGTTCTAATACCATTTGTTGACCTATGAGGTCAAAAAGATGGGGGCGTAATGCGTCTTTGTGGTGAACTATTGGGTCGTTACATCAACCTGTCAAAACTTTGAAGGGATTCTCACCTCTTCTTCTCGATCAAGCGGTTCAGAAATGTAGAGGCTGCCGTTTAATCTGAGGCTGAATCGCCGAGTCTGACTGCTCCTCGGCGTCAGATAAAAGGTGATTCGGCTGTTCTCTCCAGCGTCCTGATCCCGAGCCACCAGATCGCCGATCCAAGTGCCCCGGCTGGCGTTCTCGAACACCTCGAAGAGCCGTGGCTCCAGGAACTCGGGTGCATGATCGTTGATGTCGAGCACGGTGACATGAACCTGTGTGCTGGCCGTCAGGCAAGCCTCTTCGTCGTCTGAGTGCCGGAAAGCGCAACTGGAACCGCCGTCTCGAGCATAAACGATGAGCTGAATTGTGCAGAAGAGAAGAATGCTCAAATGGAAGACGAGACTAGACAAAGACTATCGTGAACTGGGCAAGTTGAGCAATTATAAAATACATTCCCAACCAAATGGCCTGGTTGGCTGGACGACGAGAAAATCGACTAATCTTCTGATTACAGTGGGCCTTTGAGGGTCGAGTATACGAATGGATCTCGTCCAGAGACTAATATTCACCTTTGAAGTCATGTATTCCTGGAATACCGCATCCTCACTTGAACTCTATGGCCATCTTGCCAGCACTCGAACCAGGACCATGTGACTGTGATTAAAAACTAGTTGTCGCAAATGTATCAAGTCCACTGTCAGATGCTGGGAATCATGACAACTACTATGGCAGACGACTTCGGACTAGGCACATAGTCGCCCTGACAACAAGACCAAGTTGCGACAACGAGGTCAACTCACTTCTATAAATCGAAAGGAGAATGCCACCATAACAGAGGCCACAACATCTTGGTCTTCATATATTCTAAAAACTAGTTGGTTCAGCAAAAATGGTCTGTAAAGCTGTACGGGCCTCTCATCTACCCTAGGGGGGTGAGGAGAAAACTATCTGTCTGCCATAGACAGGTTGGCAAGGAGAAATTTTTTTCTCAGCCGCTTGCTCACACCACCAGAGCCTCAGCCTTTGGGACCCAATAAATCTCTATTCTTAAACGTTTTACGTCACAGTTTTGCCTGACTATAAGTTTGAGGCCACAAATACTACTTACAATACTACTGATAAATACATTTTTTTCTGCAAATTTTTCAATTTTGCCTTGCTAAGCTGATCGGAGGAGGCAAAGAATAAAGTTAAAATGTATTGGAAACGGTTTGAACTCGCTTTCGCAGCTTGGGAGTGTTGTCGAGAAAGGTACAAAGTCAATGGCCCAACTCTGGGAATTATCATAATTACTTAAGCAGAGGATTTCGGGCAAGTTGCGGCCAACTAGTTGGCCGTGACAACACGGCTTAGTTGCGAAAACAATATTTAACCACTTCCATACTGAAAAATGGAACTGCGACATAAAATAGTAACCACAAAATTTTGCTCCTGATATCGACGAAAAAAGTACCGGCTATCACGATTCAAAGTAATTAATTTGTAATCATATGATACTGTGGCCAATAAAAGGAAAAAAAAGAAAAAAAACTATTAAAATAAACAAAAAGTGACTTCATATACATGACTTAACACCAAACTGTGGTCTCAACCGTGCCTCGGCCACACCTGCGGTCACCTCTTCGGGATTCGAACCGTGTTTGAGCACTTCCAAGAACCTGACGAACCCATTCCTGCGGGGCCGTTCGCAAAGCATGTCTTTCTAGAAGCTTAGCCACGACTCTAGACTTTTAAATCCAATCTGGTTGATAGTGGGACCCGACTTTTCACTTCGAAAAAACAGTTGGTCGCAAGGTATTCTTGAATTTGTCTTACCGGAAAATGGACAAGGTCTTTAGCTCATCGTCCTGCGACCTTGATGAAGCTGTACTCATCTACCTTCTGTTATGTTGCATATGAAGAAGAGTTGTCCTGATTTTTAATGGATGCGTTCACTTCCATTTCGAGTGATTTAGCACATTGGTGCGCTTTTTGTAAGCTATGATTTTTTGCTTTGATGATATCTATCAAATGACAGACGAAAGTTTTGCTCAGGTTCACTTATTTTTCGCTTTCTGAAGAGACCAATTCACACATTTCTCCCAGCCAACTCCCTCTTCGAAATGAAAAGTCGAGTCACACAAACTCACTCATTACGGGGCTCTGTTAAACCCAGCTCTAGTGCATATATGCGAAACCCTCTTGTTGCCATTTGACTCGATGCACAACTGAAGAGTTGGTACTTCTCAACTGGTCTCTCAGATGCCTGACAGCAACGACCCGGCTCATAAAAAGGGGACATTTAGAAATACAGAGTCTGAAGTCGGTCACGGTTTGGACCACGGATGCGTTCACGATTTGAAGGCTACCGTTTTCTATCAGTAGCCCTTTGGAATACCGAGAAGTGTCAGACCCTTTAGAACAGGTTTCCACG